CGCCAGTGTCTGGCAGCCTCGCCTCTGTCAGTGCGCCCCAGGGCAGCTGTGGCTACAATGTAGCTTGCCATTGCCAGTGTGTGAATGTGTGTGTGAATGACTGAATGTAGTGTAAAGCATTTGTTCTTTGCCTTTCATCTTTTTGATGGCTGCATAGTAACAGCCTAACTAAGAACTTTCAACAAAAACACAAAAGTGATTTTACAAGCTTTTGCCATGAATAGTCAAAATTTGAATAGACAGAGAAAACATTCTTACAGAGTTTAAAGTGACCTAGATGTGACCTTAAGGTTTTTTCATTGCAAGTCCATTCAGAAGACAATGAACAGTTTTAAAACTAGTCATTTGAATCTTTTCTTGGCAATTGGTAAGACCTTTGCCACAGGTGTGTCTTTCCCTCACCTTCTGGGCTTCTCTCCAATGTCCATACCACCACAATGTCTTTGTTCTCAGCCATTTCTGTTCACACCGAGTTCTCTCAATGGTACACAAGCTGGAACTTGGTGGGGTATTCATATCATTGTTCCTACAGGAGCTAGGTGACTAATACAGAAGGACAAGCCTGCACAGACTGTTTATACTGAAAGCAAAGAGGTGAATGATAGTACCAGACAAATTCAGTCGCTCTAAGCCAAACAAAAAAAACAAACAAAAACAAAATGCAATTTTGAGACAATTTTAATATTCTCATCTAGTCTTTAATAATACTTAAATCACTAAAAGCCTGAAATTTTCCAAATAAGATGGCTTCTTTTTTCTTTGCTACATAAACCACACAGGATAAAACAAGTCTTCTACAGACAAAATATACTTCATTATGCTCCCAGGTGACGCTTCAAGGTGGAGACAAGATGGGAAAGCTTGATTATGTCAGCACAAAGGCGCCACAACCAAGTCAAATATTTTGTTTAGGTCCTCAAAACGCAACTTGTTCATCTGATAGCAGCATGTAGAGTAGGAAAAAACAAACAGACTGATAACTATTCCATCATTTTGAATCCAAGAACAAGGCTTTACTCAAAGACAAAGTATTTTTAAATCGATTACCTCATCCTCTTAAATCCTGTTGCTTATAAGAAGTGATCAACCTGTACATTAGCTACTCTGAAGTATCCACAAATTAAAGAAACTTAAAAGCAATGTTTGATATGATTAAAACTAATGTCATCCAGGCTGCACTTTAGCTGTAACATATCTTGGTTGCAGTTAATCATTGCTAATCAAAAGGTATTCTCATCAAAACTCAGTGTGAGATAGGTTTGTCTGCAGTTACAACCAATAATAGCTCATTTAATGCCATTATTAATGATTTATTTTTATTATTAACTGAAGTTACTTAGCATGTTTTACTGAGCTTACTACTGGACTTTATAAACTCATGGAGCCAACCTGTGCAAACAGGTGATTTCCATTGAATAGCATCGCCTTATCTCAAAGAAGTAATCAATGAAATCACTTGTGGTTTGACTTTTATTTGCTCAAGTTAGTGCAGGTTTGGACCCAAAATTAACCGATGCCTTTAAACCCTGATGAGCTGACATCTTAAAGGACATATTGGTATGAATAATATTGGCAAACCTGCATCAAAGTGCAGTATTTGTATTTCGGTAGTTTAGTTCCTGGTCTTAATTATCATTTTACCTTATTTATATATTTGTTTTATGGACTTATAATATGGTAAATGGCCTGTATTTATATAGCGCTTTTACTAGTCCCTAAGGACCCCAAAGCGCTTTACATATCCAGTCATCCACCCATTCACACACACATTCACACACTGGTGATGGCAAGCTACATTGTAGCCACAGCCACCCTGGGGCGCACTGACAGAGGCGAGGCTGCC